TTGGAAGGCAAGAAGAGGATAAGGAAGAGAAAGAAAAAAGTGATAAATTGCATATTTCTCATTGCACACAACACAGTTGTGTGTTCTTTTCTCTTTTTTTCATATGGTTCCTCTTTTAGACATGAGGAATGTATGCTATTTTTGCAGATATACCCAAACTTCAGCTTTGTCTCAAGAAAAATTAGCAGCATCTCGCAAAGTGTCAGTATTCTACAGACTGGAGTCACTAATATTTAAAACAATCACTGGCTCCCTTACTCTTTGAAGACCTAATTACACTCATTAGAAACTGAGGAACTGGCGCATGTTCTGGTTATTGATTGCATTCACGCAGGTGTAGCAACCGCTATACCAGATTCTACACCAAAAAAAAAAAAAAAAAATTAAAAATATGTATTTTTGAGCTGGAGATTTCAGAAATGGTATTTATTTTTATCAAAGGAATGACTCAAAGAGTCCATCAGCACATGCATGGGAGATTTCTCATATAAGAGGACTGTGAAATTTAGATTAAAAATAGATACTTTAGCCTAATCATTGGATCATGTTAAGAATATGATTCAAACATGACTAGTTAATAAATGCCTCTGTTTGTGCTCATTTTGGGGAATGACTTCAGTGGCCACATCTTGTTTGCTGTCCAAGTCATCTCTGGTCTACTCTTGTAGATATCATGCTTAGAGTGAGTCAAATCCCAAAGAGGCAGCACAGAGAGATGTGGAGGAAGAAAAAGACTTTTCTTCCCTCGGGCAAAAGCAGCTCTGAAGTTGACAGAGTTCACACTGGATCTGGCCAGCCTTGAATCAAGGGGCTCTCACTGACCCTCCAATGTTCTCTATCTAGTGGAAGGAGCCCTTAAATGGAGGAGAGTCTCCCTAGAGGCAATTGAACTTGAACAGATGTGGAAGCTGATGACAACTTTTTTTCCTTGGTATGTCACTAAAATTTCCAGCATCTTGCTCACCCCTGTTATTTTAAGTATAAAATTGGCGTAACAGCTCTCTTGACTCAGAGATTGTAAGGATAACATTACTACTCCTGTCTTACTATCATCAAAGAGTGGCAATTTTCACATCTAATAACTGCACATGGTTTTTGTATGCTTTTATAAATGGCAAGTGGTTGTTAGAGAGGCACATTTACTGTTACTGCACTTTGAGCTAGTTGCATGGCCAAATACAGGGTTTCATCTATGTGCAGGGCAAAACACTGGCCAACAGCAACTATTGCCAAGCAAAATATAATAATCTCTAATAGACACAGAGGGGTTTGAAAGGTAATGAAACAGATTTTAAAATCCCAGAACTGAAGACAGTTCTTAATGATCTTACTAATTTTGCACAGTGGCTGGCTGGCTATTTCTACATGTTATTCCTTTACCATGCACCTGAGGGTCATGTCTGGGTTCTCAGCTACACAGCTGCACTGGAAATAAGGACAGCTGGTTATCTACCACTGTGCTACATCTTTTTTTTCAGTGTCATCACCTTCTAAGCCTGTGTGTAAATGTAAAATAATCCACTGTTCATAACAAGAGCAGAAGGGTTGTAGTAGAACAGAATGAACAACTGTTCCCTGGTCACCATTTCCATTTTACTCAGGATTTTATCAGCTCCTTCATTTTTATCTCCTCCAAATTGAGCATTCTTGCCTACTTAGCTGTTTCTTGTATGGGGACACTTCCATACCCTTTGTAACCTTTGTCACCCTCTCTTCTTTTTCAGCTCTCCAAGAACTTCTGTGAGATGGGGGACCAAAGTTGCACACATTACTCCTGATGTGAATGCACTATGGATGTTTACAGCGATGTTCTGATGCTTTCTGCTTTATTCTCTGTTCTTTTGCTAATAGTTTCTAACATTCAATTAGCTTTTTTGACAGCTGGTGGGTACTGAGTGTTCGAAGAACCATACAACATAATTACAAGATTTCTTTGCTGAGCAGTAATATATAGCTGAGAATGAGAACTAACAAATAGCTGAGACTTCCTCACTGTGTATTTAAAATCAGAATTGTTTTCTTCCATCTGCAGCACTTTAATGGCACTGAACACCATCTGCCATATTATTTCCCAGTCACCATTTATGGCAAGGCTCTTCTCCACCTTCTTGCAGCTGGATTTCCCTTTTTGTTTTCCCAAATAACTTCATACAACTAGCAACTTTTGTCACCTTGCTATCCATCCCCTTTTCCAGATCCCTTATGAATATACAGAAGAACGTAACAACATGGGCTCTGGCACAAATCCCAACACAGTTCCACCAGTGTCCTTCCTTCAATTCACTCTAAAAAATGACCAGTCTGTTTCCTGTATTTGTAGCAGTAGCTCATTTATCTGAAGGCTTTCCCTTTTGTCCCCAAAGCAGTATTACTTCTTCACAAGCCTCTGGTGAAGGACTTTCTCAAATGCTTTTGATCAAGAAGACTCTATCAACCAACCTTGCTTGTCACATACATAGAGACACTTCAGAATGCTTTACTTCCCTTTACAAAAACCATGTTGACTATACCCCAATATATCATATTTATCCTTGTGTCTCCTACTTCTATTTCATCTTCCTTTGTGGATGATCCTGCATTTGGCCATACTGATATGTGTGTTGATCAGATATGCCTGATTTACCAAGCTGCACAAATTGTGTTGTATGATTACATTGCCCCAGTAATATTTGTCATTAACTTTTCTATTATCAGTGAGCAGGAGATACATGAGCAGCTGAACCAATAAATCCCTTGTTTCCCATGATTTTCTTAATTACAGTTGAGTTCTCATGTGGTTTCTCTGGGATAATGTCTAAGCTTATGGTTACAGCATTTTTCTCCAACAGGAATACAGAGCATCACTTTCTACCTGGCCTATTTTCATGACATTTGCAGGAATTTCGTGTCTTTGGGAACAAACCCACAGTTTCAACTTTGTTTGAGGGTTGGACTTGATGATCTTAGAGGTCTTTTCCAACCTTAAAGATTCTATGTGCAACATGCTCTGTTGAAGCATGTTTAAGGGGGAGAAAGCTTTACTGCCAGAGAGTATGGTAGCACATGCCTTGTTTCCTTGGGAAAGTAGGCTAAAAACGTAATGCCTGTCTCCTTTTCCCTGACAAATGGAAGTCTGCATGATTGTATTTTATTAGACATTCTAGAAGTATGTGCCTCTGTATGGCCTGTTTTTGTACAGGAGATTCTATAGAAGGACAGAAACCTGTAGGATTATGCTGTCGGAGGAACAACGTGAAGCTGAACTGATCTGGACTAAGTTTTCTGTTAATTTTGTTTAGGAAATTTTACATTTTGATCAGATGTGTTTTAAGTCTTAGGTTTGAGACGCTCTTTGGTAAAGGCATTGGACATCTTTATTCCATTAAATATTGAGTCTGTCGAGAATTAACTTGAGACTGGCCATTCCTGTCTTTTTTAAGGTTAAAGAAACATACTCTAGACCTTGTTTAGGCTTACTGAGACAAAAAAGGGTATAAAAATTTATTTAGATTTCTTTTGCAGGCTACCATTAAATGATATTTGGAACCTAATATATTTCAGTACAAGAAATTATTTACTTGCTTTCAGGTAACTGGAAGAGAAAGCAAGTAAGGGACAAAGAAGTTTGGTCTTCTCCCATGACAAAGTACTACTGTCTGTACTCTGGGCAGATGGAAAGGCAGGGAATCTTTGCATGTCCTGGAGTTCATATTTACTTGTGTTCTGTAGGCTTAAGCCTTTCTGCTCAAAGAAGTGAATAAACAGATAAAACCAGAAAAAGGCAGCATATTTCACTAAATCAAAGTCTTAAAAGTCTTAGATTGAATTCTCCCCTGCTGAAGCATGTAATGTTTCTTATCCATTCACTAGTATTATTTTTCAGGTTGCTAGAAACAGATTAATGTCTTTATTTCCTTGCGGGAATGAATAATGTTCTTTGGCTAGACTGACTGCTGAAACACTTTTTCCACTGCTCCACACAGCCTGTGCAATAACCACAGAGCTCCTAGCCCAGCTGTAATTACCTTGAATTTGTGTTCATAATTCTCAAAAGCTTCCATGACCATGCAGACAGCCTCCATGGAGCGTTCCAGTCGTCCATCCACCCCGTTAAAGCGGTACATGCTGCCGGAAACATCCACCACCAGGCGCAAGCGTTTAGGTTTCTGCTGGGGGCTCCCAGGCTGACAGGGAAACGCAACAGAAAAAACCCAATCTAAATGGGAAAGCTAAACATCGGCAAGGATAAAACATTTCAAAAAGAGAACCCAACGCACTTTGCGAAGCAAGAAACTTTTATCCAGCAAACATTGTTTAGTTTTTTTTTAAAGAAGAACAAAAACATTTCAACTTTTTTTCTGTTTCAAACCAGTTACTTAACAGATACCTCAATTCATTCTTTCCCCTCACCTTCAATGACTGGAAACAAAATACCTCGAAAAATTCCATGCATGCTTGTCAGGAAAATACTTTTTCTGTCTCAGTTTTGATTCTTAACATTTTATTTAAGTAAAGAGACTCTCAAATTTGATCTTTCTGCCAAGGCTTATAATGGAAATGTTTTTCCTTGGCATACGGTACTAACAGGGACCCGTATAAGACTGTAAAAACTTGTCTGCTGAGGTTAATAACATTCCAAAAACGTTTGAAATCTTGTTCTGATTAACTACTAGTTTCTTCTTCATTCTAATGCAAAACCCATTATTTTTTCCTGAAAACAATCCCCATCTGTTTTAACAATTTTTGGCACAGTACATTCAAGGGAGGTGTTTTATTTAGTGTCCAATAAGATGAGTCTGGATTCGAGTACAAGGCTATTAAAGATGATCTGGCAAAAAACAAGTCACATAAAAACCAAATTACTAAAATGTTTCTTTTACCTGTAGGGTTTGCAAGCATTTGTGTGCTTTTTTCTTTTAATTACTCTCTTAATGGACTGGGACATCCCTGTTGTCCCAAAAACAAAGGGAGAGAGAGAGTACATTAAATGCTACATTTATTCAAAACTTAAAGGTGTCCTTTTTTTTTTCCTAATTGAACTATTTTTACAAAGCCTTAAAACTCATATATTGAGTAAATACATTTTGAAAAAATGACAAAATGTAATCACTTCTCCCTTATTGATCTTTCACACAGGCAATGCCAAGTTCCATAAGCTGTTCAAAGCAACAAACATCAGGACCAAATAGCATAAAAAACCAACACCAGGGATTCATCAGATGTGGGTAACTGACGTACAAAAAGATGTTGTACTCAGCTATTTAAAAAAAAATTCTTAGTGCAGTTAAAAATTGCAATCTATCATTAAGTATTAGTGTTAAATATTACGGACTAGCCCCACCAGTTTTAGCCAGGTTTTGCTGGTCTGATTCAAGTGGTTTCTCTGTTGCTGACTCACACAGGCCTGATCATAATGTCTCCTAAGGAACGGCTGAACTGAGCCACAGGACAGACAACTTTATCATATCTTAATGGCTTTTCCTCACACTTTTTTCCCATTATAATTTTTATTCTTGTAAATCCAAATATTTGTGGAAGTTGAAATTCCTTGTGTATCATGGAATAAGGAGAAGATATTTGTAAAACACTTTTTTTTAAATACTTCCCAGAGTATCAGGGTATTTATCATCAAAAATTAAATTAAATTAAGTTAGTGAGAAAATATTTTCCTTTTTCTTAGACAAACAAACAAAATGTTTTGTGCTAATTGCCTTCAGCTCAATAAAATATAAAATAAGAACATAAAAACTGTTGCACAGGATCAAACAAAGGACCGTCTAGATCAGCATCCTCTCTCTGAGAGTGGCAAATAGCAATTACATGTGTATGACTACAAGTAATGAAGCAAATCTTCCATCTTGTGGTTGCCTCTGTCTCGGGGACTTCCCAAGATTCTTCTGAGTTTCTCATCCCTATAACTCACTGAAACGCCACTTGTATTTGTACAGCCACTATGAAAACAACAAACTAGTTAAGCACTTCCCTACCTTTCCCTGCTACTTGTTGGATACTTACTTGTGGCTCAAGTTCTCCCCGTCGTTTATATATGGCTTTTTCTCCTGTCAGCCCGTCAATGATTTTGGCATCATCTAGCTCTCCAACAGCTTGGTGTCTCAGCCATTGCCTTTCCTTACCCTTGGCCTGCAACAGAAAAGAAACCTTAATTCACTCAGTGATGTGATTTTAAGCAATTTAAGACATACTGAATATGACATACGAATTAATTTTCTTTGTAATGATGTGATAGTTTTGGCATAAGTCAAAGAAATCCAAACACATTTTCATAGCTGTCCTACTCTTTTTCTCTGAAAAAAAATTAACACTGACAAAGAACATGTTCCCTCTGTAATTTTGTCTTCTTTCAGTTGGTTCATATATGGGAGTTTAACTGTGGAAATTTTATCCTTTTTTCTTGCAAATGTACTGAAAATCTGTGTAGCTTGTGCAAAAATACATACAACCAGAGGGACATGCATAACTGACCATTTTTTTATGTTTTCTCCATCCAAGCAGTGCAAGAAAAAACCTGGGTGACTTAAAGGTAAAACTCGGTAGTATTTACCCTAGGTAATGGTAAATAGTTTCTTTTAAAGTAACACTCATAACAAACTATAATTATATTTTAAAATAAAAACCTTGAAAATTATGATACTGAAGAAACAGTCCACTGAAAGTTTCTTTTATTGTCTTGAAAAGAACATTGGTGACCCACAGCCTGACTTGATGAACATGCATTACAGTCCAGGAACTCAAATATTCATGGAACTCCTGTACATAGAAACAAGCACTTAAGATTGAAGACTCAAGTGTTTTAATATTCTAAACAACATATTTAAGAATGTTTTCAAAGGATAGCTTCATCATGGTTTATAATACATAAGATCCATCTAAAGACAGTAAAGTCTGCATATATGGGTTTCATGGTTTATTTCATTTCTGCTTAAATCTTCAGGTTGAAGTTGCTCATCCTAGTAGTAAGCCCAGCAAGGAAAGAAGATTTTAAATTTATATATGTATAATGCATTTACACTCTCAGTAAATTGCTGGTCAGCAGCTGGAAGCAAATCAAATATACAGCAGGACACAAACTGCCTTAAACAGTTCTCAGGAATGAAAATCAGTCACTGTCTGATGAGCAGGAAGTGTTACATTACAAATCCCCAGCAAACTGCAGGCCTGGGATTTGAGAGGACGAATCTTAATAATTTTGTACAGTCTGAGTAGTCAGACGATGGCTTCTTAAGGCTCAGGGAATCTTTGATTTTGCTTTGGTCAAAATATATGAGTTTTTATTTTTGGTGTGTATGGAAGAAGTAGTCCTGGACTACTGTCTATTGCCTATAGTTACTCAGGACTAATGGACTACTTATCTATGAAAATAAATGGGCAGACAGAATACAAAGCCACAGGGAAAATGTTTTGATTAATTAATTTCACAGTATAGAATTAACATAGCTGTGACAAACACAGGTTTTTTTAGTTAGGCTGTGTCAAAAGCTTTACAGATGCTTCCTGATGAAGGCAAAACCAAAGCCAATACATGGAAATCTCAGCCTTTTAGTAAATCACGGAAAAGGAAAGTTGACACAATTTTCTGTGTTGTAAATTCAGTCGATTGTTCTCTCTGATACATTTTCATGGTGCTACAGTCAACCTAGCTTTCACCCAGTTTGGCAGTGGGGTATCCATGAGTTTGTACCAACTAGTAGTTTCCATGATCATTAAATATTCTTGGGATGAAATCTGAAGTCCCTTCTTCCATAGGATCATCAATTCCTTTGTTGCCCAAAGAGTTGTGTAACATCACAAGAAGATACCTGCAAATTCCAGGTGACCTCTACATGCTCCACCAAAGTGTCACACTATAGGAGTTCTCCAGCTGTGAAAAACACAGTAGGATAACCCATGGCAAATTTCAACAACACTCCAACTAACCATTAAAAAATGCTCCTGGAGACAACATGCTGCTGAGTGAGCAGAGCCTGTCTAAAATCAATCATCCACCTCCCAGGATGATGCAGATGAAATGACTTTGTTCCTAGTCAGCCACTATAAGTACTGGAACAGAAGTAGATACTTAACGCTTCCTTAGGGCTGCTGTTTTGTCATTTTTTTTGGTCATTTTCTTCCTTGCAGTAGGCAGGAGAGACAAACAACAGAAGATTATAAATTTTTGGCTTCATTGAGCAAATTCTCATCTAATTTCACCACTGTTTTCATTGACGATGCTTTAGCTTTGTGGCTATTTGCTGTTCAAGGAACAGTAGTGTGAGAAGAAACTTGCTTTTAACTATGGACATAGTTAAAAACCATTTAATACCTTTTGGAGCTTATGCAACAAAAGCCAGTATTTGAGCTGAAATTTTCTTGGAGGCACACAGAGTTGAAATTCTCTTCTAAAATAAGAAAGAATGCTGACAAAATCTGACCTAACCTCTTTCCAGAATAACGCTAAAATTATTTAGACTACTTAGCATCTGCCTCTTCCATGCAGAACTCCTAAGAATTTATTTCCTTTTATAAAAGCTGAAAAAAAATATTCCATTAAGCACGTGTGTTATACAATGCACATATATACTACAGAAAAGCTTCAAAGCATTTTCAATATATAATTTGCATAAGCTTAAAAGCAACATAAATTTAAAAGCATTTACAATTTTAAGAGAAAACCAGATCTATTACATATATACCTTGCTTCGATATTTTACTAGAAGGGGCACACAATCAATTACTATTGCAATATACTGCGGCCATATTGATGAAAAAATATTGTGTATATATTCACTGTGTTGCTTTTGAAATTAGAAAAGTGTGCTAGATACCATATCTTATCGGCATGACAATGGCTGCTCACAACACACCACTGCAGTAATTCTTTTCACTGAAAGATATCAAAGGCATATTTACAAAAAAACCCTGCACAATATAACTGTGATGTCTGTAAACATCACAGAAAAAGTTGTGTATGTGAAGTGATCACATCTAAATATGTAACTCATAACAGTATAGGATCGTAGGAAATACTGCCAGTTGTAGTCTGCATTTTTTCTGGGAAAACCTTATGCATATGTTCCCTTAGCTGCTGAAATCAGAAAACTACTACTGACAGGGCACAGGGTTTTTCACATTGTCGGCTCTGAGCCATGTTTATTATAAAACTGTCACTATTTTATTCTTGCTGCTATGACCAGACAGTTCCCACACAGTCTAAATCAGACAGAGCCCCAGTAGGTTCACGGACTCCAGCTCAGGTTTGCCCAGTTTAATCATAGAATCATAGAATGGTTTGGGTTGGAAGGGACCTCTAAGATCATCTAGTTCCAACTCTAAGATCATCTAGTTCCAACCCCCCCTGCCATGGGCAGGGACACCCTCCACTAGACCAGGTTGCTCAAAGCCCCATCCAACCTGGCCTTGAACACTTCCAGGGAGGGGGCAGCTACAGCTTCTCTGGGCAACCTGTGCCAGTGCCTCACCACCCTCACAGTGAAGAATTTCTTCCTTATGTCTAATATAAACCTACCCTCTTTCAGTTTAAAGCCATTACCCCTTGTCCTATCACTCCATGCCCTTGTAAACAGTCCCTCCCCAGCTTTCCTGTAGGCCCCTTCAGGTACTGGAAGGCTACTATAAGGTCTCCTCAGAGCCTTCTCTTCTCCAGGCTGAACAACCCCAACTCTCTCAGCCTATCTTCATAGGAGAGGTGCTCCAGCCCTCTGATCAGCTTCGTGGCCCTCCTCTGGACTCACTCCAACAGCTCCATGTCCTTCTTGTACTGGGGCCCCCAGAGCTGGACGCAGTACTCCAGGTGGGGTCTGACATGAGTGGAACAGAGGGGCAGAATCACCTCCCTTGACCTGCTGGTCATGCTGTTCTTGATGCAGCCCAGGACATGGTTGGCTTTCTAGACTACAAGCACACATTGCCAGCTCATGTTGAGCTTTTCATCAACCAACACCCCCAAGTCCTTCTCCTCAGGGCTGCTCTCAATCCATTCCCCGCCCAGCCCTGTATCTGTGCTTGGGATTGTGCCAACCCATGTGCAGGACCTTGCACTTGGCCTTGTTGAACTTCACGTGGTTCGCATGGGCCCATCAAATGCAGATGCCTAAATGATGCTCAAAAGCTACAGGGACAGTTGCCCCAGATTCCCTCTACAATAATCAATAAAAAGAGAACTGCTTTCTGGAAGGCACATCATCTAAACTCTGAGAAGGCATTTCTGAGCAACTGACTGACCATCAGCTTTGGAATCTGGCGTTCAGACAGACAAGCGTTATTCAGGGTTTGGCCAGCATTAGGAGAGCGAAGAAAGCTCATCATTGACTGGATTTCTTGGACTCCTGGCTTTGCTACTTCTACAGAAGATAAATGACAACTCCTAATGTTTTGTTAACGTTGTTCAACGAGCTGACAGAGATCAGTGAGTTACGCAAAGTAAAATGAACAATGAAATTACATTCTCAGACTGTATTTATGTATGTATCACTTTCAAGGATCAGCCTAATATAAACATCTCTTTCTGCTGCTGCTACTTTTGTGAGCCATCAACACTGGACCTCAATCCCAGCCTCTTGATTCTTGGGATGTAAAATTTAATCAAAGGAACATATTTTTAAAAAACCCTCAAACCTAACAATAAAAGGCATATGTTGAAAAGAAAATCCAAGTTAAATAAACACAGACAATATATTTCCATTATGTCAACACATTGAGTTTGAAACAAAGCAAACTCAAAATTTTTTAAAAAGCCACAAGTGTTCTCTACTGAGAAGGTAATTTGGGATTTTCACAATGTTAAAAACACAGAGACATCTCAGCTGCAAAGTTTACTGCAACTGACTGTGCCATTGACTTCTTATTTCAGAAATGAGGAATGTCTGACTGATATCAGAAAGAAAACAGTTTTAGCTAAGAACCTATGGTGTACATGGGACTATCCAGAAGAAAGGGGGGACAGAGGCATAGTCCTCCATCAGAGTTGAAGAAGACGCTGAAGAACTCAAATATTTTTTTTTTTTTCTCAGAAAGATAACATGAAATGTGCCTGGACCCAGCTTTCCAATTAACAGAAAGCATTTTGCAACTAAGTAACTCCTGTTATCATTTATCTTCATTTTCCTAGTGCCATCTTCTAATAAAAAAACTTACCACAATCTGTATAAAAATTTATAAAGTTAAAAATTTGCTTTCAATATTGCTCTTATTCTATGAGCTAGCTTTTCCAAATTCAGTGAGTTTGGTTTTTTCATCATAAAGTACATTTACTAGCTCTGTGGTTAGCTGTTGTAGATCTTGCCAGGAAGTTAGCAAAGTCTCATAAAATACTGAGGCTTATATGACTTTGCCTTGATATTAAAATGACCTTTCTAACAAAGCAACAGGATATGTCTCCTTATATTAAAATGTTATATTTTGCTTATGATTAACGTGATCCCTGAATGTAAGCATTTTGGCTCCAAAGAATATATAAGGCAGACTAAAAAAAAGACTTTAAACTGAAGATTCACTTATTCACACCTAGGGTGTGCTTCCAATGGCATGTCTACTAGAAATATGGTAAAAAAGCAGCTAGATATAAATGATGTCGGAAAAACTGAGATTTATATCTAAAATTTTTCAACTGAAACCTGACTTTACAGGCCAAAAGCCTAAGTCCTGAACTAAAACACATATTAGATGCATGAATCACCTAATCATGACCATCTTAAATGTTCATTATATGAGGAGCTCTCTGAATTGATACATTCATAATAAAACCGACTAATAGTTCTCTGTGTATATATGTGATTATAGTAGCATTGTTGTAGTCACAATGGCTTAAAGATATAAGTAAGGCAAAGAAAAATGTTACCTTTCTTACTTGCAATACCAGGGGATTGGATTTTTTGACCCAGGAGTCTGTCAATCATACAAAGTAATTTATATCTACATTTCAGTTTTATTGCTGAAGTAAGGAGATAGATTAGACACAGCACAGTGATTTGCTAATAGACTAAGGTATATATATACACCAGCGGTTGATAGGCTTCAAGAGAAATATTTTTAATCAGAGATGTCTTATAAGGAGTAAAATTAATTTTCCTTTAATTTTCACTGAGGATTAGCAGATTCCTCCTAGAAACAATGCAGTTTTTATTTTTTTTGCCCCGTATTAATAAAATCTGGAACAACCACAAGACCAATGACTAGAATAAAGGCAAACTGGTGGTTCTGGTCAGCTTCCACTTAGGAGATTTGGGCTATACCTGTTTTTATTAGCAAGAGTTAAAAACAAACCTGAGAAAAATTCATGTTTTCAGCTGCATATGCAGTAAATCACCCATTTGGAGTGGGTGTTTCTTTTAACATCTATAGCATTTGCACTTCTCCACTAAAAAAAGTCTTTTGGACAGGACGTAAAGACAAAGGCTGGGCTCTACACACCATCACATATTCTTTTAATAATGTATAGTATTTTCTTTCACAAAATTCTGCTCCTGAATAAGTAATCTCTGTAAGCTGTGGTATGGGAATACTGTAACTTGCAGAGATAAGCACTGGGATCCACTTAAAAGCTGCCTTTGAAATCGTAATATGAGACTGTTTTTCCTAACCATGATTATACCCTGAATCTGCTTTTAGCCCTCAAAGGTACAATCGTCAGATGGTAACAGGATATTAGCAGGATAATATAAGGGGCCTATGAATGTAATGAGCTCACCATGTTCCTTTACCAGTGAATCTAAGATTACCTGCAGATTGTCCAAGATGATGCGGAGTGACTGAACTTGACGTCGGACTGCTCCAGAGAACCTTTCGTAAGTTGATGCATCATATTCACTCATCTGAATCTCTTTCAGTCTAAAGCAAAGAACAGGGAGCTAAGAACAGTTTAAGAAACAAGCATATAATCCATTTACATATGTAAATTGCAAGTTTATTTACTTGATAACAGGCAAATTCAGACTGTAATAACCAGACACAAGAGACAAATCAAAGAAGTGGCCGCCACTTTTGAGAATTTTTGAGAAGGCAAGTAATCACCAATGACTCCAATGAGGATTGCATCATATTAACACTTATTAAAGTTACTAATCCTTTGTCTCTCTCCTAATCTGCTTTAATGTTTGGGAAGTAAATTAGATGTTCTGAAAACTGTGATCAAATTCTGAAGGTTTTATTGGCTCAGGTGTTGCTATTTGTACATAAAAGGATCACAAGTGTCTATTCATTACTTCACCGTCGGAGTATTTTAAACATATCATGATCCATGCTTTAACACAAAGGTTAAGTAAAGACACACTATAAAATCTGTCCTTGAAGACCTACAGCTAGTAACACTGTCTCAAGTACCTATCTTTATGCTTCATAAAATGATGAAACTTTGAAACAAAGAAGTTTTAAATGCTCATTAACAAAAATGTGCTGCCCCACAAAAAAATGAGTCATGGCACTGAACACTATCCTGTCCAGAGGCCCAACAGAGTGTGCAACATCTGCACTATAAAAACAGATATATGCTGTTTTCTATAAGTTAAGACGTGTCCACTTCAAGTTCTATATCATCCTTCTCAACACTGTAGCTAAGCAGATACTCTTAAACTGGTGAAACTCACAATTGGAATGTAATTACAGAGGTCTAATGGTGAAGAACAAGCTAAGGGACAGATGGATATGCTGAGAGCGTGAACTATTTGATATTTTCCATGACCCTGCAACATTTAGCAAGGCAGCAATTATGCAATCTGGCCACCCTATCATCCAGCACGTGGCTCGGTTCAGTCCTGAGCTAAAACATATTGGCCTATGTATTGAGTTTGTGTGGCCAAGTTTTGGTAGCGGGGGGGCTACAGGGGTGGCTTCTGCGAGAAGCTGCAAGAACCTTCTCCCATGTCCAACAGAACCAATGCCAGCTGGCTCCAAGACAGACCTGCCGCTGGCCAAGGCCGAGCCCATCAGTGATGGTGGTAATGCCTCTGGGATAACAGTGCTAAGGAGGGGGAAAAAACCCCTGTGTACACCAAGAGCAATTGCAGCGAGAGAGGAGTGAGAATACGTGAGAGGAACAACTCTGCAGACACCAAGGTCACTGAAGAAGGATAGGCAGGAGGTGCTCCAGACACCAGAGCAGAGATTCCCCTGCAGCCCTTGGAGAAGACCATGGTGAGGCAGACTGTCCCCCTGCAGCCCATGGAGGATGATGGTGGAGCAGATATCCACCTGCAGCCAATGGAGGACCCCACACTGGAGCAGGTGGATCCCCAAAAGAGACTGTGACCCCCTGGGAAGCCCGTGCTGGAACAG